TTAAGAAAAGACCATATTATATTCTGTTTCATTTTTTTTAATCAGTATTTAGACAAATTAAGTCTTAACTTAACTTTTGAGTTACTTATAAAGTTGATTTTAAGATAAAATCTTTAATATGATTAACTATTGCTGAATGTTAAACTTTTTTTTTTTGTAAAACATATAAATATTTAAATAAATATAACTAGATAGTTGTTAAAAAAATAATAATTAGAAATCTCTGGAGCTTGAGCTGAATAACTTGAACCGAATTGTTTTGATAGTTTCGAATACTGAACTGAATCGACATATAAAAATTCCTGAACCAAACCGTCTCAATTTTCAGTACGGTCCTAAAAATTGAATTTTAGTGATTTTCGAATCTCGTTATCTCACAATTTTTCTCACTCCTACGTGTAACAAGATGGTGGTAGTGCTACTACCGTGTGCCTTGGCACACCTAGCAAGGTGTGCCAAGACAGTTGAAAATGAACATGTTACTTTATAAAATGAACATGTATAAACATGTTTACACATGTTCATTTTATAAAATAATATGTTCATTTTAAAAAAGCTTTGGCACACCTTGCTAGGTGTGAATTATTTGCGAGATGGTGGTGTGATAATTCTTACAATTGGTACAACGTTAATGATAACGTCAAGCATAGTATTTATTTGGTTTTCTCTTTTTAGATTCACGCATGCGCATGCTTTTCTATGGCTTTATCCCCCACAGAACCCACTTTTCAAACTGCTGTTATAAAAAGTGTAGGGGGCGGTGCCACATGCAGCCGCCCCCAATTGCAATTAAAAAAAAAAAAAAAAAAAAAAAAAAAAAATATTATTATATTTTTTTTTATTGTGTAATTTGTTGGCAATTGGCCAACTTTCCCCCCTATAAATAGGCCATTCGGCCAGATGAAAACGGACACAAAACAGAAGAGAAAAGAAAGGAAAGAAAGAGAAAGAGAAAGGAAAGAAAGATAGATTTATGTTCAAATATCGGATATAAAAATATCAAAAGAGAAGAAACAAGTGA